GGCTAGGTGAGCTAGGGGGGGAAGGGAGGTTGCTGGATCAAAATCATTATAACTTATTCAAAAATATTTTTTGTATAGTTAGACCAGTTCAAGATTTTACGCATTTTCTTGAGTTTAAAAAGAATTAATTCGATTTAAAAAAAACCCTAGACACTGAGTCGGCATTACTATACATAATTCACAGGTACGCACGTTACACTGTTGCAGTGGCATCCAACATCTCTTTTATCGTTTCATTTCTTATACAAGAGCCAGCATCGAAAGTTCTGTAAAGCTGTCAGAAAATTGACAGTGAAAAACCAACACTGTTAATTTACTGGAAAGAGAAGGTTCTTAAAGAGAACTTGTGAAGTCTAATGAGGGAAAGTCAGAACGCAAGCATTTTTTTTTCATTGGAAGCTAACATAAGTTTTCTTCTTCATATGCCAGATCTGAGACAGGCATCGTCAATCAATTCATGGTTCATCACTCATGTCGCTACTCGGATGCTCTAAAATATATACTAGGCTATCTCATACTTTTCTCTTACACCATCTGTTCAAGTGCATTAATAACGGTATTCTCGGTCGACCTCTTTTCCTTTTTCCTTCTATTTCACCAAATGTTCAAAGGCTTTATATAGACGTGTCCCAGACACTGAACTTGTCCCTTCCTAATTGTTTCCGTTGGTATCAACAGTTTCCATTGTCTTTAATCTACAGGTTCTAATAATAAAAAAAAAATTATGAGCTCTGACCTGGGAGGAGAGTCCTGGCGCTGATTTGTGAGGCTGATGTCACGTTCCGTGGCTGGATACTGAGGAGGTTCCAGATCATATCCAGGGCTGGCGTAGGAGGCGTATGGAGGTGGGAGGCTAGAAATATCCTCTACTTCTGGTCTCACGGTATATATGGAAGACCCTCGCCTGAAAAGAAATTAAAGCAAAACATAGAAAATCCCAGTTTCTCCTCAAGGGCTGCTCTTATGGACCAAATCCCAAATCGACACTATTTAGATAATTTAGAAGGAGGGTTGCTTCAACCCGACCTATCTGGGTCTACCCAGGCTAAGAGGGATACATTACTCCAGCAGACATTGGAGATGCTGAAAAAACAAACAAACAACAAAAGTAAAACAAAACAAAACAACCCCCCCCCCAAAAAAAAGCAAAAAAAACAACAACAACAAAAAACCCGCTAACAAACATAAGACAAAAGAAAAACGTCCTCACTCGGGAATTAAGCTCAAGTCTGTTCTGTATGCAACACGAAAATCCTAGCCACTATAGCATGGACATCCAGATCCATCTCCAAAGAAGCTCACCTATGCACTGCGGCAATTGTCCGATTTAGCGTGTCACGGTTGGCCTGTCTCTTTTGTCGGTGCCTTTTAATCCAGGCAAACAAGAAGCAAAATAAGAAAGCTATAACAAGGAAGATCGAAGCCCCAATAGGCCCTCCTAGAGTGCTCATGGTATCCGAACCGCTGATATCCTTAGTCAGCTGCTGATCTGTAAGAAGAAATAAAAGCATAAAACATTAGAGCAGTTGTCCAGTACGTAGATGCTGAAGTGGAATCTGTACGATAATAGCCACAATGTCATATCCTCACGCGCAGAGAAAAGGACTGAAGTAGAGTTAAAAAGAAAAAAACCCCAAGCACTTCTTTTCCTGAATTCTAAAGACAATGTATTTTGGTCTTAAGGTCTGTTTTTGGGGCAAATATTCATTTAGTGTGTATGGAGACAACATAAATATGTATAAATCCCCCCCCCAGTTACGACAGATAGCATGGAAAATCGTTCACCGTCTTTTGCTTTTTCAAACTGGTCCCAGGTACTAAACATCGATACCCTATTTGTGTCAAAATTATGAAACAAAACATACTGTTTGTTAAAACAGATAATTCCAAAAATTGAAAAAAGTCGAAAATTGGTTTTTAGAATTAAAAAAAAATTGTAAAAGAAAACGAGCTGGAAAAGGTTACATAGTTCAAATGTGAAACAGAACTAGTTCAATGTCCGTCAAAAAGCGGTAGACTACACAATTTTAAAAAATTATAAACACCCTCCCTCAAACAGTTAGTCCAAGAAATTCAAGCACAAAACTAGAAGACCTAAGCCTGAGCGTGAGTTACATAATATTTCTGTCTCTCACAGTCAATATCAGTGTGCAGTGTGCTTTTATCAGCTACGAGGCTCGAAAGGCAAAAATGTGATTTTCCATGGAATTTGTGTTTTTTGAATATATTGAAAGTTTGATGTCTTCTGCTTCTTTTAAGATAAAGATAAACAACTATAATCGAATATAAATATTTTATTTTGATTTATTTTGGAGGTGTGTGTGGTTTGCTGTGAGCTTGGGTGACGAAGTAAAGGAACTTGGACACTGCTAGTGTGTAGCTGTGAGATTATTTTTAGAACCATTGCCTCATGGCCACCATTGCTTCAACGTTCTTCATTCGCAACTATTTTAAGATTTTGACCCCTTTCCGAGCATACATTTTCTGAAATGTAGACAACTCTGATTGGTAAAACGGAATAAAAGGGATAACTTCCAGCTCACTTCAAGCTTGTTTACGTAAACAGCTGACTGTGTGGGCGTGGCCTGCTAGCTGTTATCGACTGTTGATCTTTCACTTTTACACTTGGATTGACTTTAAAAAATTCGTTTCTATTGAGTTTTAGTGCTTTTATAAGATTATTAACCTTCCTCTAGATCTCTCAAAGCGGGCTCCTTACCAAGAGGCCAGCGAGGCGGTTTATGTGCATGTGTGTGTATGTGTGTTGGTATGTGTGTATTTGTGTGTGTGTGTTTGTGAGCGTGCGTGCGTGTGTGTGTGTGTGTGTGTGTGTGTGTGTGTGTGTGTGTGTGTGTTTGTGTGT